CCAGCGTGTCTTTTTATGGCCTAGTTATAAACCCCTGGAAACAGAAGGGTATATAATGAAAACATTGACAGATCCTTACCTAGAATATTGCAAATGAGCACACCATAAAAATGACTAATTACAGATATTGTAAAACTCAGCTTAGCTCTCAGGCCCAGCTGGTGGGCTGGAGGGCAGAGATGCAGACAGTGATAGCAGAGGGCTTGGCCTCTGCTCCTGTTGGATTTGCCTACATACAGACACGGAACTCCTTGTTTTGACGTAATGAAAGGTCAAATGAATGGCCATGACCACAACAGGAAACACTTTTTATAATGTTGTGAGCTTAATGGCAATAAGAGTGCTTGTAGGTCACCTGACCTGCAAAAAAACCCTGCCCTTGTTCACTGCCAGCAACAAGTCTCTGCATATGTCCACCCATAGTGCCAAGAATGTTCCAGCTAAGTAGACCTTACCTGCCTACTTCAGGTGGGGCTTGAGGATGTGTTAGACCACATAGAAAACCTCCAGATTCCTGTAAGTGATTTTGTCTGGTTTGTGAGGGAGGGAGTCCCTCACAGGCTCTGAAGAACAGCAGTGGGACGAGGTGAGGAGATTGGAGCTGGAGTCTGTCCTCATGTGGGCACACAGGAATTAGGTAGTTATTGCACTGGAGCCAACCTCACCAAAATAAAGGTCAAAAATAAATGGAGACTTCATGACATGAGTACCCATGCATCAGCAGGGGATAGTTTATTTGGTTTACACATTTGGAGAAGTGTAGTTACTGCAAACAAGTTTCTGCATGATTGCAGGGATGGTACACGCGCTCTTCATGTCATGCCAGGCATCTGCTATTGCCTGCTAAACTGGGAAACTGCTTAGGTCAGACTCCACCACTCTGACACGGTCCTGAGAGATGATGTTCTCTGAAAGATGCTCACTTGCAGCTGTTGAGGAAAGAACTTGAGCCTTTTCCATCCATGTTGGAAAAGCTAATGTCAGCTGGCAAAAGTAGCAGGAAGATGACTCTGGGCTTGGGGAGGTTTCAGAGGAAGACAACCTCCAGCATTTCTGTTTCTCCCTGTCCTTCTCTGTTCTGGTGGAGAAAAAACCACCTTCATCTCTCTTTTGAGCCTAAGTACATCACCTGTATCCTTCAGTGCCTGGTTGGGCTAAACACATTTCCCTGCGTGCTGCCCCTCCAATGGTTGCAGAAACCCCATCCCCAAGGTCACAGCAGGCTGCTCTGTCTGAGGAACTGACAGCTGTATCCATTAGGAAGCTGTAGTGGAGCCGGTGAGCTTTACAAGAGAAGGCTGAACACTTCTTAGCGGGTGCTGGAGGCACCCGCTATTGTAATAAAGACCTCAGCAACAGCAAGGGGACAGACCCTGGCCATGGACAGCCCGAAGGCCTAAAGATAAAGGGTTGGATTACACAAAGCAGCCTCTCATTATCCACTCCTTGATACTGGTTGGTAACAGTGTTTTTAAGGAATCTCTTAATTACATTTTACAGTGCATAGGTTAGGCATTTTCCAGCAAGGGCTTTATTGTAATGGGTTGCATATGTTCTCATACTGTACACCAAAATGAAACTTAGCTACAGGGCATTTCCTTCCGCTGGTCTTGCTGGGGAGCAGCTTTAACCTCTTTGCAGACACAAAGCCATATTTCACTCCTGAGAGGTCGCAGCCGTTCCCTGCTCCCATCCCATCAGTTGAACCCTTAACTGTTCAGGGAACTCGCCAATGTGCTGCAGGGAGCAACCCTGAGGGGGGAGGGGAGAGGTGAGACAGACATGGAAGAGACCCAGGAGGGTAAAACCCAGCAGTGCCTGGCTGCCAGTAAAGCCCAGGAGTCTCCCAAGGAGGAGCCCAGAGCTGGCAGCCACATCACTGACCAGTGCCAGACTGCCATGGAAATCACCTGGGGACCCTACTCCAACACCAGCAGTGCTGTATGTCTGTCACATTTCAATGCATCAGAGTCAGGACTGTTGGAAAAAGAGAAAAAAAAATCAGTTTCATAGGAATGAAGACTGGATTCATAAGTAAAAAAGCAAAACCCAGATTGAAATGGCCAGATATTTGGATAGGATTTGTCCACAGTCATCAGGTGTGGTAAGATGTTCTCCTGACCTTGGACTCTCAACATGGCTTACATAGAACAACCAGAGATGCTTTTTGGCCCGTAGGGGTTTTTTTCAGCTGGAGATTGGTGTGAGATCGAAGAAACGAAAACTGTATTGGGAGACAAAAACTGCTAGGTAGCAGGAATAACTCATGGATTCCTCTACTCATCCCAGCAAGCTGATGCTGCAGCATGACTATCAGAAAAAAATCCCCAGCTGTGGCTTAACTGTGCAGAATTTACTCCAGATTTTGTGAGCTAGCCCAAAACTTGGAAACTTCTGACCGTCTTCCAGTTTGAAAACATTGATATTGAAAGGGGATTACATGTGGCAGATTCAGATCAGGCAAAAGGACACACCTATGCACACAACATACAGGGAAGAAGTGGGACTCCTTGCCATGTGATGTAATAGAAAAAATATGTTTACATGGGTTCAAAGAGCAAGTGGACAAGTTTTTGAAAGAAAAAAAAATCCTTCAAGGTGTTCTAAATACCTAAGTAACAACACCGTGATTGGTGTTCCTAAAAGTTCATGGCATTATTTAGACACCAGAGCTGCAGAAATAGTTCCTGTGACAGGTCCTCTGAGAAGAGGCTGACGACCAGCACAGTTAAGTGCACCTTAGCCCTGCCTGAGGAGTGTGGGTCCTGTTAGGCAGGTCCCCAAAACCTCAGCCTGCAGAAGAGGATTCTGCTGATTTATCCAGCAGAGAAAATATGCGTTACCCTTAGAGCTGCTGAGGAGGGATTAAACCTCAGCCCCACAAACAGCCAGGGATGTGACAGCTCTGTGCAAACCAGGAGCCTGGCTGAAATGACACCTGCGTGAGTGTTTCTGGTAACTGGAATTTGCAGCTGGGTTTTCCGTGGTACCCACTCCTGTTTGCACTTGGACCTTTGAAAATTTGGCTCACATTGAAGAAAGAAATTTATGCCTTAAGCCTGAATTTGTCCTGAGGGAACAGTAGCAGAAAAAACAGCTATTTATTTTTAATAGACACCAGCGTCATTACTTGGGTCTGGTGAGCTTAAAGGATTGGGAGGTGAATGATATCATCAAGGAAGCAACTTCTTTCTTTACTTTTTTCACTCATCTAATAGAAGAAAATCCCTCACAAGAATAAAAGAGCCATGCTACAGTGTGCAAATGCTTCTCTTTAGGACAGCAGACCTCATTTGTCTTGTTTGTTGTCCCTTCCACAAGGCACAAACTTCCCTTATTGTGCTGTCCTGGGGACAGCCTTCATCACACTCATCAAGAAATGAACCAGGTGATGGCAGAGGCGCCTGCAAACCCCCACATTCTTCTCTCCCTGAAGGATAGAGAAGCCCCTCTCAGGGAAGGAAAAGTCAGGATTTATCTACAGTGACAGCTCCCCGGCCCAGAGTGGCAGCAGGGAGCAGGGCCCCCCACCCTTGGACACCTCGGGGTCACTGCAGGCCAACCAGAGCACCTCCACTTGGCTATGACCTTGCAGCAGCCCTTGCAAATCACATCTGGAATGTGTTTCAGCTTCGAGAGCAATAAATGAAAACACTGAACACAACAGGGTCGAAGCACTGTTGTTTGAAAGAAAAGGTAATGCTTTGACCCTTATTTGGCCCATGACATGTCTGGTTATTCCACCAAGAACTATGAAAGTGTGGCTTGGGATGGGTAAAGGATAATAAGGTATTTTGTCATCAAATAATAGAATTCATTTCAAGCTTCAGTGGCACCCAAGAATGGGAAATGTGAATTCCTCACACTCCAAGCCACTCTTTTTCTTTTGTCCCCAGATATACAACAAGCAAACAAGAGCTCCAGTGGATTCACACAGAAGCAATCATGATCAGAAAAGTTCATGCCATTTTCCAAGCAGTTTGGCAAATCCAGATTTGAGAAAAATTAGAAAACCAGTAGTTTAATTTGTAAACAAATATCAACAAATGGAAATTGAACTTACAAGACAAAAATTACATAAGACCTCTCTGTCATGGTTTCTCTGCTTTTCACCACAGAAGCCATGGGTGTGATTTCAGCACCCTGCTCCCTAAAATATCCCTTTGGAGGATGTGGTAGTGTTGGCTGCAAGTACTTCCATAACTCCTCCTCTTTCACTGCCTGTAGCACCACACAGATCAAGTGTTCCTGGTCCTGTGGCCACCTCTAAGGACTATTGCCTAGGCCACAAGGAAAAGCACAGCAAGTGCTCACAGCATTCCTCTGAGAATATCCATAATCAGAAGGTATTTCCCATTTCCTTTTGTGGCAAAATCCACTTTTTCCTTAGAAAAGCATTTGCTTGCAGATGAAGCGAAAGGCATCCTTGTGGATGAGCCAATGCATATTTTATTTTCCAAATACAACTGGAGTAAAGCTATTTCCTCGAACCTGAAAAGTTCTGAGATTGCAGGTCTGGATTTGGAAGTTGGACCTTGCCCAGATGATGCCACCTATATTTCCATTTCTATTTCACTGCCAGCATTGACAGACAATCTCTTCTATAAGGTCCATTAATTTACTGCTCAAATGAATAGTTTTCCCTTTAGAAAAGCAACAGCTCCGAACTGTGAGCTGCCTGGTAGCAGGGCTCATTTCAGAGCTCTCTGCCTTCTCATGCCCTCACTGGGTCCACTCTGGGGATTTCTGATGTTTCTCTTTGGACTCTTTTGGAGGCCTCACCCACCTCACATCAGCGAGCTATGGGGAATTTGAGCCGTGGAAACTCCATCAGAAGGATTTCGGAAGTTAACTCAGAGTATATCACTGCTGTGGTTGCTGTCTCCCAGGAGCTGAAGGAAGCAGAAGACAGGGATGGTCATAACTGGTGCTGGAGCCATCACAGCATGGCACCATCCAGCTGGAGGGGACAATTCCTGTCGCTCCTTTTCACAGGCTACAATTGCAGAAGGCTGCCAAGAAAGTGACGCCCCATCCTTTAAGTTCTTGGATCCACACGCCATGGTCCCTGGGTAGCCCTGGATTTCCATGGTACCATTCCCACCATGTGGCCAGGTAAGTTCATAGCCATGTAGCTCTCCTCACTCCGTGTCTGCTGGAATTTCACCACATCCATGTCACAGTGTTGTGTCTGGTTATTATTTCACAGAAGGATTTTATATCTTGCCCTTCAAGCCTGGTTTGTTACTGCTTGTAGGGATGGAAGAGAGAAGACAAATGACTTGACAAATGACTAGACAAATGACTCGACAAAGGCTACAGAGTGAACCCAGCACACCACAGAAACCAGCTCCCTGTTTTTGTTGCAGCAGTTTCAGGCTGGCTTTTTCTGCCTGATTTTTAAATTAAAAAAGCCCCAAGAAAAAAGCCTGACCACCCTCTTTCTGAATAACTGGCTTACAGAAAGCTGTTGCTTTTTCTCTGAAAGGATTGAGAAACAGGGGCCTTCAATAGCTTCTTTGTGTAATTTTATTTTGCAGCTTCCAGCCCAAGACAGCATTTCTCGACCTGTGAGGATATGCTGCCCTCTTCCCGTCTGGGACGCTGCAGCTCAGCAGTGCCATGGAGACACATCTTGGATCTGTGGGATTTACCCAGACAATCTAATTCTCCACTTCCACAGGTTTAGTCTCTCTTGGCATTTAGGTAATGGGTAAGGCAGAATTCATTAAAACTGTGAGGGACCAGGATGGTGTTCAAACCGGCTCTTCCTGACCTCAGATCCCCATCTGTCCTCCCTCCTGCCAAAGTCACAAAGCTGAGCCCCTCCACCACCACACACTAGCTCCTGACATCTCTCTTCACCTTCCCCATCATTCAGGAAAGAGATCTCCTTCCACACCTAAAGAATCTCGTAAAAACCAAGAAAATCTTCAAATGTCCTTTACTAAAATGCCATCATCTGTGAGCCTCCACCAGGAAATTGAATGTCTTAGGGGTGCACAACACTGATGAGAGCACCAGGACCCTACCTTACCCTGTTAAGAGCTGCAAACCTTTACCTCCCCTCTGAGCAAAGGGGACAGATGAGAACTTTCCACCTCCAGGTTGTGACTCAAGGTTGTCACACCTGCTGCTTTCACAGGTGCCTCTGTGACAGGAGATCCCCTCCAGCAATTCCCCTGTGACTGCTCTTATCAGCTGCTGAAGTTTAGAAGTAACTTGGAATAGAAACTTCAAGGAAAATGGGAAGGGGAGAATTGCATTTCAAAGACACTGCTTGAAAGAATCCTTTGAAGGACCCTATTCAAAGGTTCAGAACTTGATAGAACCATTTTAAAAAGACATAAATTCCTGGTTGAGTCTCACCCCAGCAGGACAGAAAAGCTGCCTTCTTTGTGGGAACACAGTCCCAGCACAACACAGGAGATGAGATCCATCTGATAACATCTTAAATTACTTTCAACCTAAAACATCCAAAGGTAGTACATAAAGGTGAGACCTACCTCACATATTCATGAATGACTTCCTTAAAAAGACATGAGCTTGTGCCCATGAGCTTGTAGGTGGTATAAAGAGAGCTAAATGTTTGCAGTACTGGCTGTATATGAGATACCCTACTGAAAATCCACAGTCGACATTTACATCACTTACTGCTGCAATGTTTCCATCCCAAGATTAAAACACAGCAGTCACTTCCCAGACAGAACTTCCACGGTCATGCTGAACTGCAGCCCAAACATGGGCAAACCTTGGGCACAGCTTATCTTTGTGCTTGTCTCTGAGGGCATCCAGTCCTCCCCTCTCATCCCAAATATGCACTTTCTGGCAGTAACATTGCCTCACAAGAGTCATCAGGCTTGACAGCACCAAGATACATTTGGGCAGGCAAATTGCTATTAATGGGTCAAATCAGCTCACGAGCACAAAAAAAATGCTGTCTGTCTAATTTCCTGACACACCGTTTCCTGGTAGATTTTTTCTGATGTTCAGAATTTTATTTCTCTTGGAAAAAAAAATATTTTATTTCTAGATATACTGAGGAAATAGCTGATCTTATCTCCTCTATTATAGGTGACTTTTTAAAAATAATATCTTCAATGATGCACAAACCTCCATTTACGCAAGCCTTGGTTCAGCTAAGCCCTTAGCCCCTGAATAGCATGAAGAATGTGTTTAAGGGGATTCAGCAGGATGTGTTTTTAAGGATATATTCAGCCAATTTGCTGACATGGGGTCAGGGTTCTTACCACTGCCGCCCTCAGCCCAGTCATCCTTTTTTTGCATCATGACTCCAGTTTGGCTGTATCTGAACTTGCATGGGAAGAACCTTTCACTTTCCCAAGCAACAGCCCCTCATCCTGGCTGTGACCTTTGCCTGTTCCTGCAATCCCTGTGAGCAGACACAGGAGTGCTTCAAGGATGCTAGGCAGTGACCCCAGAGGGAGGAGGTCTGCCTATGCTGCCCAGCATGAAGAAGAGCCTGAGGTCCCTGCTCCAGCCTTGCGAGCCAAGGCAGCACAGACACACCCAGTGCCCAAATGCTGGTGGAGAATTCGTGTTCAGGTGCTGGGACATGGTGGCAGTGCCAAGGAAGGGGTGCAGGCTGCCTGAACAGGGGCCCGGCAGCAGCTGCAGTGATAAGGAGCAGACACTGAGTTCTTCAGCCTCTCTCCTGCAGCATCAGCATCTCACAGCACTGCACAACTAGGGAACCAGGCAGAAAGCCAGGAAATCTTGAGTTATATTCCTGATGCTGCCATTAATTTCTTATATGGCCTTGGGCAACTTGTATCACCTGCCAGTTTGGGTTTTTCCTTAGATAAAGTAGGGAAAACAGTTAACATCATGGATTTATAGAGCTTAAAGCTCTACAAAGAAGAGTCTGGTCTGGCTTCTTTATATCAAAAAAACCTTTAATTTCAGTCAGTTGTGCCTGAATCAAGGCCAATTGCCTATGTTTGACCAATATATATCTCTCCATCTCTTACAGAAGAACAACTTATCTTCATCTAAAACATCAAGAGATGGAGAAAAGCCAGCACTTCCCTTGGTATTTTCCCCCCTGTGATTAATTCCCATCCCTTCTGAGCATTCAAATTTCATTTCCCATTTGAATTTTTTAGGATTCTTCTTTCAGCCACTACTTCTAACAATGCTTTTTTCTGCTAAATGAAAGTGTTTGCGTGATTCAGCATTTCTCCCCTTGGCTTATCCACACTCGTTGGTGGGCTGAGGGCAATAATGGCAAAGATAATTAAAATCTGCCCTGTGCTTTGAAATATTAAGCCCATCTCTAAGTCCCATTATCCTGCTCAGTGTCAGAGGTACCCCTGACAAGTACTTGACTTCAGCCTTTCAGGCGGCACGCAGCTGCCAGAGAAAACCAAGAGTGGAAAAGTACTATCCCTTCAAAAAAACAGATGTTGCAGCTCCAATTTGTCTTCTGCCAAGACAAAGGAGATGCACGAAATTGATCTTTTGTAAAGGATTTTGTTTTGCTTCCAAGATTAATATCACAACAAACTGGGAGGCACCATTCCTCAGGGTGCGACGCTATATTGCAGAACTGAGCCTAAATACCCATGCTGAGCATAACTTAGTTAGTCTGCAACTATGTCTGAGAAGGGGGAGATAAACTTTTTCCATCCAGTAGCACGTTATCTAAATAACCCCTCTGTCTCAGAACACAAAGGCTGACAACTCAACTTCAAAGTCAGGCAGTATCTTCTAGGCTTGATGCTGCCTATCGTGGAGTGCCAGTGGTGTTCTCAGAGCCCTCACTGGTGGCCTTCATGGGACTGCTGGGTCACACAAAAGGAAAGAAGGAATGAAGGGATCGGAAGGACAACCTGGGACATCCTGTGATGTGGTTAGAGGGCTCTGACTGGAAATAACCATTTTTACTTGCCAGAAAACCTCATCTCAAATCATGCAGCTGGGTAAGGGACATTCAACACAGGATGTCACTAAAGTACACACAAGGTTCTAGATTACAGGAAAAGTGATTTCTTAACACCTTTCACACCTTTCATAAAAGAGACTCTCTTTATCCACAGACCAGAACGCTACAGCCTGTAAGCTGGCTTTTCCCACAGGAACATATCTGCTTGTCACCATAAATGACATTCTCCTACAGTACTTTCTGCCCCTTACAAAAAGTGACAACCCCTTTCCCAAACACACCAGTCCCACACATGGTTATTCTTCCCTTGCTGATGTGAACCACAACACGTCTTCACCAGCCACTACTGGGTTTTCAGCAAAAGTACTTTAAATCCCTACTTGTACAACCCAATGGAGATGAATGGAAGTGTATAATTTAAACACATTGATTCAACGCTCCATAGAACAACAAATTGCTCCTGACTTTTTTACATGGCATATCCAATTAACAGATTGAAACAAAAAGGATCATCAGGTTGTGATATTCTTTCCACACTTCTTCATCCAGCTGAATAACTGCAAGTAAATTCCATACTAGTTTCACCAATGCCCAAATCTCTATGCTATGGCAATTTGTGAACAAATTCTATACATACACACACTCAAGGTGTGATCAACAAAAATGACTGGACAAACCAGAGCTTTTCGGATTACTTTTTTCTCTGCACTGTGGGAAGTCTTTTACAATGGTGGAAAGCACATGTAATGCCCTACCTCAAGACAACAGCAATTCTCACTGGTGCATCGAAGCGCCTCTTTTCTGCTAGGACTATTCTGCACAAGGAAGTTTTGTAAGCTTAATTATGCCAGCTAGGAGTGTGAAAAAACAAATACATCATCCCTACAAGAGAGAGAGCTATGCCAACAAAAGCGCCTGGTGTGGATGCAGTGCTACCAAAGGAGGGATTTACTTTTTTCTTTCTAGTATAGTTAATTTTATTTGGGTAGCTCTGATAAACTACACCATCAAAAGAAACCTCTTGGCTAAAATAACTGTGTTTCCAGCGTAGGCTGCCAGTCGGTGATATCTGTGTGTCAGCACATTCCTCCTGCTGGAGAGGAGAGACCTCACACTGAATTCTCTGAAGGCTTTACCTGGGAGAGAAGAAAGCTACAACAAGGATCAGGGTGTTCAATAACTAAAAGGAGGCTGAGACAGTGTGGTGAGGGGAAAGCTCTGGCTGCTCTGGGCGCATCAGACAGGGCATTCCTGCCTGACATGCTTCCTCTTGGCTGCAAAGTGAGTTTCTTGGCAGAGATGATCCTCAGCCAGACATGGGATTCTGGGATTCTGACATGACCTG